TGCGGATCTTTAAGCTCCGCTCTACGTTATATCTAAAAATCAATATATGATAAAATTAAAAAAAGTACCAATATTGTATAAAACGAAATAAAATTATTATGATAAGGTAAATAATCTAGCGAGGAAAACTATAGTAAATGAGAATGATTGAAGTTTATTATATATATATTTATAAAATTATACAATCATTTTTAATTTAGAAGCAAGTTGGTCATTGTAGGGAAGATTAAATAATCTTATTTCGAGACCAAGAACAAAGAAATAAAATTTTAAAGATAGTTACATTCAGACTCTTCAAACATAAAGAAAAGTAAGATTGTTTGTTAATACCTGTGGTTCTGTAACAGGAATAATTCTTTCAATAGCTGGAGCAGTTATAACCAGTGCGTAGTGGTAGTTTCAGGAAAGGTCACTGTTGTCATTGCAGTACTGGTCGTCCATGGAGCAGCTTCTCTAATCGTTGGATATGAAACTCTTTTTGAGAAGCCACTGAGAACAAAATTATCTAATCATCATATCAAAAATTTAAATATTGATTGAACCAGCTCGAATATATAAATAAGTAGATATTTATACTATCAAATCTAGGCGACTGTTTAATTAAAGTAAAAACAAAATAGTGAACACACGAAAATTATTTAAAACAAAAACTTTTAATATGTACTAAGCAAAATTAATCAATAATGTATACGAATTCAAAAAATATTTATTTTTGTCACTCTGGTTAAAGTTAGACTTGACATTAGTTAACCCGTATACGCCGGAGCGGTGGCATCCGAGTGGAAAGGGTTAATATAACAGGCATGTTTTCTGTGATGTATAACTATCTTGAATAAATAAATTTCTTTATAACACCGACATCCACCAATTCATATACGTTTTCCTTACCTACACAGGATTGATCCAAAGTAACCTCTGCCAGCCGAGGCATTCGAAAAGTTGCGCTAGATCGGCGCCCTTGCAGGCGCAGTGGTACGCAGTTCAGTCCAAGAATGCCGAGCATCGCCACGCGGCACTCGGACGCCGGTCCTGCGCATTTCTTGGTCACGCTGTCCACAGCACACGACTGCTCGTACATCTCCAATCGCCCCTGGATATAGATAATCATAGATAAATAAACATAAATAGATAACAATACAAGTTATTTTGATACTAGTGGGTTGCATGGTATCGTGCCTTAAGGCAAGTTGCTGAAACTGCCCGTACCGTAATTGAAATCTTGGTAAGGAACCCAAAAAAATTTACACAATATGTGTACACATTATTAAAATTTCTATAAAATATCTGATAATTTGATGTACATATGTCCAATAAAATTTTTGACCGCCAAATGACATTTTTTAACTTATTTTTATTGAGAGTCCATAACCGCTGGACATAACCTTCCCAAAAATTTGAACAGTTTTTCACCTTGTCAATACAAGTAAAATATTATTATTATTAAAATCGGACGCTCCGTTCTCTTAAAAACTGAGTAATAGGATTCGTATGTTCTTTGAATAATTAAAATCGGTTGAACCGTGTTCCCGAAATCGTTGACGAAAATTTGTATCCGCACACACACACACAGACATACACACACACATACATCAATTTTTTCTAAGTTATGCCAAAATGTTGCCCTACGGGAAGTTAAAAAATATATCCGATACATGGGAAAGTACAGATTTATGTACTTTAATAATAATCAAAACATGGCAAATTAATTATATTATGATGGTTATTATTGTCTATGACAATTACTATATGATTTTATTTTTGTGAAGTAAAATTATCATTTTTCTCAAAAAATTTATTTTTTCATTTTGTGAATATTTACTACGTTTCGGTTTACGAAATAACCTCTTTTTTGGGATCAGAATAATTGAAACCAATTTTTTAACATTAACAAGCAATAGAAATTAATTCTAACTTTGCTGTGATGTGTTACATATTTCAGACTTTCATTTTTAGAAATATGTAACACATCGCATCATCATCATTTAAACAAAGTAAAGTAATATACCAATATATAACAAAACATTTTTTTTCAAACAAAGTTAACAAAAACCTTTGTGAAATCTTTTTTTCGTACTGAATTTTTTATTTCCCTTTCTCTTTCGTATTTTGTCTTAGCTAAGTTATATCTTTCTTTATATGTTTGATCTTCACCCGAAGAAGACAATAAATACATGTCACAACCGCACTCACAAAATTTGTCACAGCCGTACCCAACGCACATTTTTGAAAACAAATCTGAGCTAAATTATCTACGCAAAAACTAATAGTTGGCTTTGTTGACTATTAATGCTTAACTTACAGCAAAATGGACAAAAAATTACAAAGAGCGCTGATTAAACGCAATAAATGAAAACTTGTTCGAACAAACATACTTCATCTTTCTCGCTTTGGACCCTATCTCAAAATCAGTATAGCTTAGCTGTTATGACGACTGTCAATACTGTCACTACCGTACCCTGGCACAACCGTACCCAGCCTCTCTTACTCAAGGTAAGTCAAATAAGATCTTGAAACGTTTTTACAAAATTTATTTAAAAAAATTAAACCCGACTAATTTTTTTATTTTCAATAACTGGATGGATGCCTGAGTAATAACTTTTTTGTTATACTGTCATGGTACAGCTCATATTATTTTTTGTTATCTTTTTCAGCTTTATCTTTTAAATTTTTGGTTCATAAATTATTTGTTATATACATAACTAGTTTATTGTTGGTTTAGATTATGTTTATTAAATTACTTGTAAGTGTATACTGTTCCCACTAGTATAGGGATGAGAAATTCGAAACATCGGCAAGTTTAATATTTAAATATTTTCAACCTAACTTTCTTTTTCATTTTAGAATGAATAAGAGTCTTTTGCAAAAAGGCTTTTCAAAAAACTTGTTTGAATTTGCTATTGTTCAATTCTGCACGATTTTTAAGCTTTATTATAACATACAAATGCGTACATCGTTTTTTTTAGCATGGTAAATTGACCAAATATGAAGATGTACAAATATAATTGGTATTACTCACTGGTAATTCATTAACACATATAGAAAAAATATTAAAGTATGTATTTTGGCATATGTTAAATCATTATTTTATCTACTTTAAAATATCTACTCTACATCCTTACTAAATATGTCCGTTAATGTTCATATTATTAATAATAAACAACACAACTATAAAAAGAAAACCATAGATGATGACATTAAATGATACGAAGTTTATTCGAAGTGCAACTTTAACAACTCGTTTTATTAGTATAGTGATCTTATAAAATTGTTATTGATACTTTGAATTTAAGTGTACCGTGGTTATGTCACGCTATAACTGTTAGCTGCATTATTCACCAATTGTTTGTTCACGAGTTTTCAAGATGATAAAATGAAGAAATAATAATATATATATATATTTCTTACGAAGGTGTTTAATACCTTTAAAATTAATCACTGTGATAATTACACTTTATGGTTAATTTGAATACTAATATTTTATATTTGATATATTCCGAATATTATTTCAGTTAAGTCCAATATATTTTTTTGGAATCAGATTTGTTGTTGAAGACATCTAAACATTATCGAGAACTGGACTAAACGCTGGCCGATAAAAATCAACGAGAGCAAGTCTAACCATATAACATTTACTCACAATAAGACAACATGGAGTGTATTTTTTTACCAGATAATACCAAGTGCTGATAATACCTAAGTATGCATCTAGACCGCAGACTAACATGAAAAAACCAAATCATAACAAAAATCAAAAGCATCAAATCCATAGTCAGAAAACTTTATTGGCTGATCGATCATAATTCAAAATTAGCACTCGAAAACCAAATCTTGGTTTATAAAACGGTAATAATTCCTATCTGGTCATACGGAATAGAGCTTTGGGGCTGCTCTAGCTAATTTAATGTTGCATTGGTATAGCGGACTCAACCAAAACTACTTAGAATGATGACATCACTCTGGTAAGCGAGCAATAAAATTCTGCATGATGATCTGAATGTGCTATATATTGAAGACTTTATGAAAATAAGATCCACTAATCATCACCACAAATTAGAAAATCATCTAAATTCACTCGTTGCTCCACTGCCCCTTGCACCAGAATTAAGAAGACTTAAAAAATTATGTCCTATTAACTTGATCCAATAGATTGCATCTAATAATAATTACCCACTGGAGTAACTACTATCTACAATTATATGTAATTAATGTGAATCAAATTAACTCATGGAATGTAATTAATGTTCGGATTGTTATTAATAAAAATTGATTGATTGCTTGAAAATAAACAAAAATTGTTGTTAGATATTACTAAACTAACCGGCACTCTTCTTCCTCGCGGCATGTCTCAGCTACCGTGTGGCAGGCGGGTGTCGGTGGTATAATAACTCCTCCTGAAAGACCGTTGGGTTGCGGCTCAGGTCTCCTGGCGCAGACGGGATGCAACCGTTCTTGCGCCAACATGCACTCGTCGGCACGATCGCTTGTTTTTCTAAAAAAAGACAAAATAGTTAGTTAACAAAATGTCTGAAATACACACGAATAGTTAATAAAAAAAATACATCAAAATAAAATAGTTTATTTGTGGTATTGTAATTTCAATTATACAGTCAACAAGTAAACCATCCTAGAACTCGGTGAGTATGGAAACCATGATATAAAAAATTCGGATCTAACGTACAAATCAGGCTAGTTCGTAGTGCGATTTGTGGAAACTATAGGGTTTATACAAGAAACGAAATTTATGGAAAACCGGTTTCCGTTAATAATGTTTTTTTTCCAAGAAACGGTTTTAACTGGTTTAGAGTTCTTATAAAAAAAACTATTAGCTCGAATAACTCAAACAATTATTACAGAAAATTTCAAGTGATTAAAAGTAGTTTTGGACTAGAATTATTTTCTAGTCAATTATTTTATTGATAATGAATTTTTTTATGCAATTTAGTATAACAAAAAAATAATGATTGACCACGACTAAATAATTTCAAAAAACAATTATTTGTTGTTTATCTTATATATAAAAATGGATCGCAAAATGTGTTGGTAAGCGCATAGCTCAACAACGCCTGGACCAATTTGGCCAATTCTTCTTTTAAAATGTTCGCTCATATCCAAGGATGGTTCTTACGGCGAGAAAAAATCTAATAATTGCCGGGAAAACCCTAAAAACAGCCCTTTTCTTTTTTAATCGAGTAAGCAACGAAATTTGTAGAAAAAACAATGATCTATGTCATGACATTTTGTGTAGTTTTTGATAATCTAATTTTTAATATGTTTATATAAACATGTAAATATCTTTCTATTAATTAACGAGCTATATTGGCAGCCAAAAACATTGATGTAAATGAATTAAATTTCAAAATTCAAGAACAAATTAGAGGCGAATGAGTTGATTCGGCAACTAACCAAGACGATCCACCGGAGTTTTTAAACTCGCTGGATTTGGTAAGATTGTCACCTCACAATCTTTAATTAAAGGTTGGATCGGCAATTATAATGTTGCAAAATATCGACCAACCGCGCCTTTGCAACGGTTGCAAATTCGAAGGTTAGCGATAAAAAAATTACCAAACAACTTGATGGAAGCAACTATATTGAAAGGATAGTATAAAGCAGAAGATGTTCTCCGTGCATCTCAATGTTTCCGACTAATGTGCCATTTGAGATTAAACGACTACAGTTTCCAGTGCGTTTATGGTATCATTAAGTGTTTGTGGTATTAATTTGGAAAATTCATGTTTCTCACATGGAAAAAATGTATGTTGACTGTTCCCGTATTGGAAAACCATCAGATTTGTTTGTCTATGCGCTAGGTAATCAAACAAAAAACATCGTTTATCACAAAGCACTACAATGAAAATTGAACTGAATTTTGAATTATGATTTGCACGATTAAAATTACTTATTTTTAAATGCTTATATGTTTTATTTAATTATTCTTAATTCACACCGAATTATTACCAGGGTGACGGTTCTGTTCGGGATAATTTTTTGCAAAGAATAAAAAAAAGGTAGGAATAAAACACCGCCACATTACAAATTTTTTTGACAGGACAAAGTCTGTCGGGTCGGCTAGTACAAAATATTTTTACATATAAGGGTGTAAATAATTTTATAATAGTGAAACAAAAGACTGCTATCCATTTCTAACAGTGTTTTAATAAATATAGTATATTTGAAACCGTCTATCGCGTAGTATGGAAACCGCGCTATAAAAAGCTCAGCATTAATACAAATCACATCATTTGTACCGCGTTATACGGAGACCGATGAATACAAAAGACAAGAGAATTTATAACTTGTTTTAATTGATATAAAGTTTAAGAGTTCATATAAATATGAATTATTTTTTATTGATTTGAAAGGTTTTATGTAAGAGTATGATAAAACTTACAATTATTCAACATATTTGTAATATAATCAAAAGATTTTTAAGAGTTAAATTCAATGAAACATTGTTAGCAACAATGATTTGAATTCATATTGAAAAGTGTGTTCCAGAATAAACTGAACAATTGGTTAAAGATGTAATGAAGAATCCTGGTTCGAAAAAAGTTAGTAAACTGATATGATCCGTACTTAAGAAGGCAAATTTAAAATAATTCAAGATATTTTTTGAATCATTTGACAAGATTTAAATCAGGAAATATAGGTAAGTCTTAACTTAATAGTAGTTGATCGGGGTATTAGGAAGACAAAAGTTGAAAAGTCACACTTTTAAATTACCGTTAGGACTCAGTAATTTAAATCTTGAACCTTTGAACAATAGGTACGTGATTGGACGACTTGGTTACAAATAATGTAAAATTCTTGCAATTTATAACAAGATTTATGCAATTTTTTCGGAATAGACAACAATATTATTATACCAAAATTCCTAAACTAAATTAAAAAACTGTTTTTAACAAAAAAATTTTCAACCAGACTTTTTTTGAAAAGACTAAATGCTGTAAAAGAGCTCTGGCACTTCCAAAACCGATATCGTGCACAGCCATGACATGAACTGGAATGTTTATATAATATAAACATATTGTAGAAAATAAAAATTAATTAATATCGATAATAAAACTTATATTGAAACTTTTTACAATATATAGTTATACTTGAGTCATTCATAGGATACTCGAAAGAAACTTATGGCTGTTTAACAAAAACCGTGCCGCGTTATAGGAAGATTTGCAATTTCAACTTCGCGTAGTATGGAAACAGCGTCCCCAGAGTACGGTTTTATAAGAGGGATGATTATAAATGGAAATTGTTGTTAGGCTTCAGTAATTTGGATCCTGCACTCGCAATTGGACGGCTTGGTTACAAATATAGCCAAATTCTCGCGAATTAAGAGTAATACAATTTCTTTGGAATTAACAAAAATTTTGTAGGCTCTGATGATACCAAGATCCCAAGTGATGTTATCAGCACTCAGTTTATATAATGATATGATAAAAAATAATACAAAAACTAAACTAAAAAATTGTTATTGATAAAAAAATTTCAAGCAGACTTTTCTGGTAAATATCACAAGTGCTGTGAAAGAGCCCTGACACTACTAAAACCAATCACACACCTTTGATAAAAACTGGAATGTTTATAATATGAACTTTATATTGTAAAACTAGTCGATAATATAACTTATATTAACCGTTTACATTATCTAGTTAGTAGAGTCATTCATAGGATTAAAAGGAACTTATGGGCGTTTAACAAACACCGTGTTATAGGAGTACCGCATTATAAGAGTACAGTATTATCAGAGGTTTGTCGCAATTTCTGCTCCGCGTAGTATGAAAGCTGCATTCTCAAAATACCGCTTTATATGAAGGTTGATTATAAATCAAAAATTCTGAAAATGACTGGAAAACGGTGCAATTCCAGTGTCGTTTTCAAATAATACGTATTTAAAATATTCTTCAGCTTACGCTATATAATCAATCTGGTTTGGATGTCGGTAAACATTAGTGTCATCGTGACAGATATGGCAACTGGTTTATTTCTCTATGCAGTGTTTTATCAGGAATCACTAAATAGAGAGAAGGAAAGAGATCATCCCCGATTTTTCACATCGTTTGATTCGACGTGAGAAGATTGCTCTGTCATCAGCAGCATCTCAATAAACCGGCGTGCACACAATGCCTTCACTAGTTCGTTCAGTCGTGCATTACAATCAAGTCGCATTTTGTGCATATCGAACTTTATCGACTTTTCTGGCGTCGAACTGACGCCGAATCTAATGACGCTATGAGCTTTTAAGCACCGCCAACTTGTAACTTCAACTGACATTGTAGAAGATAGGTATACTAATGTAAAATGGTATTATAATCACTTTGAATTTAATTTATGGAATGATTATGTATTTGGTTTAGGCTTTATAAATAGTATATATACTACAGTTGCAGTTACAAGTATCGAATAATTGCTTTAATTAAATTTTGGTATTAATTGATGATACTTGTATGATGTATGGAACTATTTCGTGCATTACAATTACCACCTAGAGCTTTTCATATTAACCATTGCACGTTTATTCGTGCAAATATGGATTGAAATGCATTTTACACTAAATAAAGACTGAAACTAGGGAGCGCATGGCATCGTGCTTTAAGGCAAATTGCTGGAACTTCCCGTATCAAAAACTATTATTTTTTTAAAAACGAATAACATTTTTGAAAAAAAAATACTTCGAAAAAATTAGATTTCTGAGAAACTATAAATTGGACAAAAAATTACTTTTTTTAATTTTTTTTTTTTGACATATTTTTTGACAACTTTTTTTCAAAGCAATGTTACTGCTTTAACTGCATAGAGACAAAATATAAAGTATAGTAATATTTTGCCCCGTATCTTCAGAACGGTTAGACCTGCCTTTGCCAGAAACTAATCAGCACGTCTCCTTATCAATACGAATCGAATGTTTTTTGAATTATTCAAATCGATTGATCCGTGTTCCCGAAATCGTCGACGAAAATTTGTATCCGAACACACACACATACACACACATTCACACACACACATACATCTATTTTTTCTAAGGTATGCCAAAATGTTCAGAAACCATTGAAACGTAAAGATATATAAAAATTTTCATTTTCGATTTTTTTGCGATTACTATAACTTGCCCTACGGGAAGTTAATAATATTTATTGTTTAGTAAAAAGAATATTAAAGAGATATTTTCTGGGCACAAGATATACATACATATTTGTAGGTCTGCATTTTTTATATAATTTGAAATGCATTTTGTACGGATTAATATGTATGTATGTATATGTTTACATAATTAATATGCAAACTTCATTAGGTGCATTAACTAGCATATCCGTATTATATAAATTTTTAATAGTAAATCAGAGTAATGAAAGCAATTATATGCGCTTGTGTTTAATTGACCACAAAATGTTGTCAATGGGTTGTGAAATTGGTTTAATATCGAAATAACATAGATATTTATCATTCATATAAATTAATTATTAGCAATTTATATTATGTTCAATCTGCAATTATAATTGAAAATCATATAGTTCAAATGCTATTCGTACATTAATCCATATTTTGGGACAAAAGAATATTATTGCATAGATTTCCTGATTTTTGGGTACCCAGTAAATATAATATGCGTATTTGTTTAGTGGTCATAAATAGTGGAACTCACATGATCTTTTTTTGCCGTACCTCTTAAACGGGTTTACTTGATTTCAGAAAACACCTTCTGATAATTAAATACTAATATTTTTTGAATAATCTAACCAGGCTCACACATATTCTTCACGAAAAGTGGCACATTCTAACAAACATACATATAATGATGGGTGAAAGCTGAGTTAAACTTCAAAATAAATCAGGGAAGAATAGTGTGAGAAATTTCCCATTGTCATTTCACAACGCAGTGCCCAAAATGGGCAACTTCCAATCGGAAACATATTTTTAACTTCCCGAAGGAGAAGTAATTTTGAAAAAAGTGTTAAACTTTTTGTCCGCATTTAAGCTCATATAGCACATAAGGTACCGAATCGATTTTAAAAAATAATGATTAGTTTTAGGTACAAATCTACCGAGCCGTTTTTGTGTAATTAACTGTTGAAAAAAAATTTAAGGCGATTTTTATGGATATTTTTAGCGATATTTATTATAGTCTTATAGAAGTTACTGATATATTACGGCCTTACGACAAATAGTTCAATTTTAAAAATTAACCAAAATTTGAGAAAATGAGTAGTTTTTTTGACGTTCGCTAAAATTAAAAATAGACGATTTACTTGGTATAACAATAGAGTACTTGGTCTTAATAAACATACTAAACCATTAAAGTCCTACGGAAACTCGTTCAAATATAAAAATTGTTGATTTTTGAAAATTTGCTCTTAGAAAATACTCCGAGATAATGTGTTCGTTCGTTTTCAATTATGTGTAATAAATCAATCTACTCGGAATACTTTTAATCGCTTATAAATTATTTTATTTTTTATTGATTAAGTCGATTATTTACACATATCAGAAAGTTCATGTAACTTGTCGATTATTTACACATATCAGAAAGTTCATGTAACTTGCCCCATGGCAAAATACCAATACCAACTAGTTATATTTCAAAATTTTCTGAAAATTTTAAAAAATTTGTAATGCGCTACGTAGCTGTGTCAGAGACACAATATGGAAGCGCGTAATCGCCGCGTCGTAGTCTAACGGATAAACATTGCTCCCAAACTTATAGAAATGTAAACAAAATTTGAACCTATTATTTAAATCTCTATAAAATATCTGATAATTTGATGACCGCCAAATGGCATTTTTACCACAGTTTTTAATGCATGTCTAAAAGCGCTGGAACTCTTCAATTCTTTATTTCGTCAATACAAATAAAATGATTTTTAAACCATTTAAATTGTACGCTATTTTATCTCCAAAATTGAATTGCCATTTTTAGCTCTTTTTGCCCCGTATCTTCAAAGTGGTTGGACCTGCCAAAAACTAATCAGCACGTCTCGCCATTAATAGCAATCGAATGTATTTTGAATCATTCAAATTTGTTAATCCACGCAAGGAAAATTTGAATAAGCACACATACACACACATCCATTTTTGCTAAGATATGTTACAATGTTTAGAAACATATGAAACGATTTTAGCGATTACTATAACTAACCCTACGGCAAGTTAATATGAAGCTTTGTTGAGAAAAAAATTTAGTTTCCGAATAAGTAAAGAAAACTAATATGTGAATAACTTACTTGCACCAGCAAAATGCGACATCCATTCTCCATCCAAGTCCCTGTGACCTGTAGAAGGCTTGCAGCGCGTCCATGCAGTGACGGCGAGAACAGCGCGCTGCGTCGCAGTGCAACAGAACCGGCTGAAGGGCACCGCGACAGGCCGGCTCGCTACGGCAACTGGCCAAAGCTACGTGACACGTGCTCTGAAATGGCATAAATTTAAATAATCGTTTAGTTTTCATTAAAGATTCTATGATATGAAATAAATAATTGCTCGATAAAAACATTTTTGAACTTCACTAAAAGTTCAATAACATGAACATTATTAAATCATATACGTGATAATTATTTTACTTTTATAATTATATATTAATAATTGCTGATAAAAGAAAATTTTGCAAAAAGATAACTGACGATATTAATGGTAAAATGAATAGTTGGTTAAAGCGGCATTTAAATTTAAAATAACATTTTACCTCCATTACGACGTCACAGAACTGTACGCACATTTTAATATTAACTGGTTAAAAGATCTTACCAATAATAGTGTTTTTGTCCTTGAAATTAAATGATCTATGATACTAAATAATAAGGAAAGTGCAGACAAAATGACATGGTGTTTTGCTTTTTAAAGGTATCTAATTATTTAATAATATTATAACCAGTCTTAATCGTTATTATTCATCTTCGGTTTATTAACTACCAGTAGCATTGTCTTTTAATTAAGTAAGAACCTGAATAACATATTCATTAAGAAAAAATGCAACATTTTACAAAAATCATTTTGTCCATATAGTACAGAAAAAATTACATATTCGGTAAGCATATACTGAGTGCTTATTTGTAAAAAGGCAGTTCACTAATAAATCGCTTTGTCCTCTTTGGGACATCAGCACTTGAAGCATGAGTCCAAAGGAAACACATTATTATACATCGTAACCAACCTTCGCCGAGATGAGAATGGAAAAAGAGATCTTTTCAATAATTACAAGTTTTTTCTTTTTACCAGTGAATTTTTTTTCTCTGTTTTTGGAAGTAGTTATAGTAGAAGTTAAAACCAATCACTTTTAACAGGTTTTAATTCTCATTTCATTGACCTCGAATAAACTAGCACGTAGTACTTGCGAAATAGTACTATGTCATTTTGTTCATTGTATGAGTATGTCATTTTGTTCGAAAGTGATAAAAAAAATCAAAATTTCACCAAACACTTCAAAATTGAAAAAAATAGATCTAAATTCCTAGTACTGAAGTAAGTTCATTGATTTTAATAGAAATAATTACAAACAGTACACCTTCAAAATAAACTTTTAAAATTATGATACATGTTTGGCCTGATTACTCTGTGACAATGACGCTCAACATCTGACAGGTTAGTGATTATGGCTTTCTTAATGTTATTCAGTCCCAAAATCGTTAATAAAACTAGCCAATTTTCAAATAAGGCCACTGTGTGTCATTTTATCCGTATATACCACTTTGCCCGTATTTTCCCTATATTATCAAATAAAATATCTAGAAATTAATTAAATTAAGTTAAAGTTAGAAAAGTAATTTTACAAACACATGATTTCTGTTATCCCATTGAAGAGGCTTTGCAAAACCTGTTTAATTTAGTTGTAATTATTAAGCGGGCATTTTAATGTAGGAAGTCAAAAAAATGTTTTTTTTTCTCTCATATTTTCTATAAACTATTTAAGAATATGTGTACGAGAGGATTTTTAAAAATTTTAAATATTTTTAGAGATACTACTGTTTGACTATGATAATCCTCTTCTGCTTACTTTAACTTTCGTGAAACTTTAAACCCCCTTTTCTGAAAACCGTCTTTATCAAATGATGCCCCCGATTTCTCGAGATCTACTAGATCGATTTGCTTGAAATTTTCAAAGAATCTTCTCTATAGACTCTCTAGTACATACTCATCCCCAAATTTCTCCCCAAATAGTATATACCATAGCGAGCGACAATATTCTAGATTAGTTAGATCTCCATTTTTCAATTTAGATTAATAGGGGGGTTGCAATCGTGGGCATGGTCACGTGGCAATTTTGAGACTATTAAAATTGTTAACTTTTTTCTGTACCCTTGAAACATTGATAAATAAATTATAAAAAAAATAATAGTGAAAAAAGATTGCCTTGTTTACGATGATTTAAATATAACCTAAAATTAATGTCTCTTTACTAGAATACCTCTTAAAAAGAGTATTAAATCATAAAATCAATCTGATAATGCGATGCAATCGATTAAATTACCCGGAATCGATTTAAATCCGTTCGAACCTGTGAAGTTGCGATTATTCCGACGGCAGCAAGTTCGGAGCCACAATGAACGCTTAAGCACTTTGTTAATCCAATGACTCTAACACCGCTTCTCCGACACTTCCACTTAAAACTTTATCTCCAAAGTAAATGAAATTAACCGAATAAATATAGGAGCATAACGTAAGATTTATGACCGGCAAAAGTTTTACAAGTTCATAAGCACATCTTGTTTACTTTAAAAGGATGCTTTGTTTACCTGGAACATGTTCCTTGTAAGCTCCTCATTTGCATCAGGATATACGGCGTCAATGTGTTTACCTGAAATTTTCAATTATTAAATTACTAACAAGTGTTTTATGTTTATGTTTGATACTAACAATAACACATATGTATTGAGAATATAAAGTATTGAAGAAAATAACTAATATGTAGAAAGTCTTGAAACATATTGACGTTGAAGATAAAAAATATTCTATAAATCTAATAATAAAATATAATGTATATTCCAACCTTCAAAATCAAACTAATGGCATTAACAAATTATGGAATGTGTAACGACAAAGAAAATAATTATAAATAAAAATGGTAAAACTATAAATGCAAATAAAAATTGCAAAAAATGAAACAAGAAATAAAAGCTGCAGTAAAATTAAAAATAGTCGTCCGCGTAGGTTTATTGGCCTTATGTACAGCTATTTAATGATAATTGTAAAATGGATATATATATATATATATATATATATATATATACATAGGGTGCCCCTTAATATGGACATTTTCGAATTTCCTTACTCCCAAGGGCTCAAATGATTCCAAATTGATAAAAATCAATTCTCTGAAAGTTTTAGCTCTTAATATTAATTTTTAGATAGTGAGCAATTCAAACTATGTATGGAAATAGCATGAAAAAAAAATTGAAAATTAAAAAAATTTTTTAGGTATAACTTAGCGACAAATGAACTAAAAGTGAAAATTCGTGTCATTTTTTATTGTAAATTTGACGCTCTGCAAAATTTATCATGTTCTTTCAATACGAAGTTTGATTGAATTGCGCTCTATCTAAACGTTAATATTAAGAGCTAAAACTTTCACAGAATTGTTTTTTATCAATTTGGAACCATTTGGACCCTTGGGAGCAAGGAAATTCGAAAATGTTCATATTAAGGACCACCCTAGTATATATGTATATATACACACACACATATATATATATACTCGTATATATATATATATATATATATATATATATATATATGCGTATATAATAAGTTGCACGTTGCTTCTTCATTTTATGTAATTATTTAACAAATTAATAATCTGATATATACATATATGATATATACATAATATCAATATATTTTGAATCAAATAAAACAGTAAAGTTTTATGAGGTATTTATTTTTAAATATTTTTTTAATATTATGGACTATTATTTTTGAGCAATTTTAATAAAAAAAAATTAATGTTTATAGATCTTGTTCAACTTTTCGGATTCAATGTTACGCTATAAGTTATTTTTGAACTAGGAAAAATCTTACAGCTTTATCATTTGAAGCAATAGTCTTCACAGAAAAGATTTATATCTTTATGAGTAAAAACGTAGGCGGCACGAATTTTCAGTAGAAAGTGTTAAATTCAGAATTTAATTAGAACAAAAAAGGTAAACTAGAGGTACCAAGTACTCAGTTTGGTAAAATTCTAAAGAAGAAGAAATAAATTGAATGATATGTTCTTCTATCTTTTATCTTCTTCTGTATTTTGTACGACTCCAACAAATGACAAAAAACTTCGTGACAAACAATTTCGTGTGATTTGTTAAGATTAGTTGGAGAAACAAAAATTTCATCGTTTGATGTGGTTTGATTACTCGTAAAAAGTTCTCATATGAACGGATGTACTATTATCGTATCTATGTGCAAATATGATGAATTAGTGTAAATCAATACCGGAGTGCAGAACATAACACATCTGCTACGTAAACTCTATATTTAAAAGTGCTCACGCAAAGGATGATTCAATTATATATTTTTACATTTATATATTTTTATATATATTGAACTTTTATTTGAAGCTTTATTGAACTATTTATAATAAATTAAAATATGTCGTTTCAAATAAAATATATTAGTATTATTGTATTGATTGCTAGTAAATATTAATTTTACAATTTTTGAAGTAGGTCTTAAAGTTTGGATTCATATAAAAAATTTTCATTCTATTAATGTTTAGTGAATGAACATCGTATAACTGTCAAAAAACCGTGAATAGTTTCGCATTTATCATCGCGTGAGCACTAATAGATGTGCACGCACATTCTAAATTGAATGCGACTAAAATCAGTGCCTATAAGTTAAGTGCTTTATAAGGTAGTGCACGTGTGTTGTGTGATTTATAGGTATCTATCGCGTGTGGGACGCAATATATATAAATACATTGTGCCAGCAGTATTAACGGAACCGAAACAATAAAACAAACAGAACCAAATGAAAATAACTTCACTATAAAGGTGTGTGAAAATGTTTACGGTGTCTACAATCTACATACTTTGTGCTGCGGACGCGTCCAAGTCATCTTCGCCGACCATGGAGCCGTTGGTGTGGTGGGTGAGAATGACCGAGGCGCCCGCGCCGCTTAAGTGGTTCGCGGGATTTTGGCCCATGATGCCGGAGTGCGACACCGAGCCCCCAATCACGCTCCCCGACATGTGGGCCGGCTCCACCAGAGGATTCTCTAGTTGCGACTCCACGAAGCTCAGTTTTCCATTCGAAGTCGACATCACCTTCACTGTAAAACCAACCGTGCTCACGTCACACAAAGCGGCCACACCCTCGGTCGTGACAAAATCATATAAAAATAATAACGACAACTAATTCTACATTTACTACAAATAAATGCTAAGGCAATTGCTATACAACTACTCTATGAATAAAGGCTATATATGAATTAGTGATTTTAGCATGCATTTGTGAAGTGCGTCAATATGTGCAAAGAGTCGACAACCATTTACATTTTGCCTTATAGAAAGTCCGTTCACACGATGACTTTTTATATCGAGGTCTTTGATATAAATTGATCTAAATTTCCCTTCGGAGTAAACATAATTTTGATCTCTTAGCAAATCACGATTTCCACAATATTCCACTCTCGAATATCTTCTGTGATGATTTGCATGCGTAGGCGATACTTTTTAATATATATATATACACACATATATATATATATATATATATATATATATAAACTTTATATATTACTTTTCCAAATATTATGATTACAGTAAAAATAAACTTTATTTTTAATTTTTTGGAATTCAAGAGCTCATGTTATGATCTCTATAGTTTGTAAATTATATTTACAGTATAAGGTACAGTATAATTTACAGTAATTTTCTTGTACAAATATGAAAATAAGTTACACAAATCCCGAACAAAAAATAAATTTAATAAAATGAATTAAAACCAAAATATGTTTGTAACTTTTTTCGCTACATATATGTATACTTAACTAAATTATTACTTTACCTTTACCATGAAGAAATCGCACTGATATTTCTTGGTCGATTATCGAGAAACTGTTTACCACTTTCAGAATATTTATGAATAATTATTACCGATATTTTATTTTGATCTCACAAAGTATTTTAAGTTATAGTTTAAATATTTTTTAGTGATTTATGAAACTGTTTATAATTATATTTTGGTCTGGAGAAAGAAATTACCGGTCAAAAAATTATATTTTAAAACTAATAACATTATTAGTTTACATTTTTAATAAATTCATTTTAGGTTTTTATTTTTGCATTATATACTACATTTTACCATTTAAATATTATATTTTACACTTCAACTATATGTTTCTTCAAAACCGAATCTCTAATAACTGGTTAAATATGCAATATGTAGTATTATTATAAAATAGTATTTTAGGATAATAGTATATTGTATTCATTATAAAATAGTATTTTGTGATTAAACATTTTTTCTTCTGCTCTAATTTTCAGTAAAATAAATAATAGTCCGTTATTTTCATATCAAGATCTTTTTTTTAGTTTTTCTAAAAGAAAGAAATAAATAATCGATCAAAAAATATATTTTAAAACTAATGAAACTATATTTAATAAATTTGTCTTATTGTTAGGTTTACTTTGTTTAGGTTTTGTTCTAAAGAACAAAAGTACAAAAGTACAAAAGTAAAATCGCGTCATGTTGTTTTAGTAATCCATATTAACTTATTAAAAAACAGTACTTAAAATGATAAAAATAAATTTATCATTAGCTAGGTTGCTACACTGCCCTGCAAAAGTTTACTCATTTAGGAAAATCGTTTTTTTTTTTATTCATCACTTTAATTATTATTCTCAGACAGTTTAATGTAACAGATTCGTTGAGAATTACATTCAATTTACGAGTTAAAAACATTTACATGTGATATTTTTGAATTTTCGTGAAAAAAAAAAAAAAAAAAAAAAAACAAAAAAAAATCAATCCAGCCGTTTTTCATCAAATGTTGGCCTTTCGATTTGAAGTCATTGGCGCGCATGTACATGATGATGCATCGAGTTCAAAAAAATAGTTAATGTTATTCAAAGTGATAATATTGTACATTTTACAATATTACCGATTAACATATTTCTGTACTATAAATAAATGAGAATTTAAAGGAAACGCTCAAAAATTATTCTTAAAATATTTTCTGCATCAACGTACATTAAACTGTCTGAGGAGAACGATAAATAAAGTGATGAATAAAAAAGACAACGATTTTTCTAAGTCAGTCCAAACTTTTAGAGCGTAGTGTATATTTATAATAAAATAATTTTAAAAACAATCTTATTTTGTTATCATGCGTTAATTAATTTTCGTTAGATTAGGTATATTATTAGGTGTTAGGTACATGGAAAGATTATTGTTTTAATAATCAGTTTTAAATGATATTATTCATATTAAGATAATTTTACACATCATTACATTTAAATTGACATTTGGCAATAAGAATTATTAATATTGATTTTTTGTCGTTAAAACACTCGGCGTCTCATACAAATATCGTTATGATCGCTATAATTATAAACAAATGTTTTCTAATTTGACGACTTAAAAATTAATATAATAATGAAACAAATAATAATAATTCACAACACAATAAATCATAATTATGAATTATAGCAATGTTTTATTATTAATGCAATATTTAAAATGGTAAGCATGCTACATCAGCAGAAATTAAACTGGTATTAATAAAACATTTTTCAGAAAAGACACTTGACAGTCCAACTATTCCTTCCTGCTATTAAAATTTAAAATTAGATTTTTTTCTGGCTGAAAATTGTATGAAGGAGACAAATATCTATTTATAAAAAAACGCTGTAGTAATATATGTACTATCTTGTTGATAAAACGCATTTTTAATGTGTCTATGAAGTATAGGGAGCGTCCATTAGTCACGTGATCGATTTTTAAGGATTTTTGAAACCTTCCTCCCATCACATCACGTGTATTTTTAGTTCCTAGGAAACTCGTAAATTTTTTGGAATTTTGAAATATTTTCTAAATTTAGGTGAAAAGTAAATACACGTGATATCTTGCTAGATTCCTCTTTTTAATCTCAAGTGATTAATGAACGCCTGTTAACATATCTCTGATATTTGTCTCCTTCCTACTTGCAGGATCATGAAGTTCACCAAAACAACTAAGTTACTGATGTTTTTTTGATGAAATACCGACAATCAAAAGTGTTTGTTTCTGAAAATTGTTAAATTAGCCACATGTGGTTTTGGTATCGGTTTCGGTTGTGGTTGTCGACTCCCGGCACATTCGGTGCATTGAAGTCTCACCGTTTCCGGTGGATTGCTGGTGCTCCATGGTGTTAGAAAAGTGCGAATTACGTGCTGTGCTGGTGGTAGTTTTCGGTGGAAACAGAAAATGTGGATATAGGTCAGTCGGCGGTTGCCATAGGTGTCGGAAGTACCCCTTAGCCGGATCGTGCGGGTACAACGCGTTGTCCGTGTCCGACATGTCGTACGGCGCCGGAAGAATGTCTGCAAAAATGCACAATTTTGCAACCTTCCACATTTTTCCGGATCGGATTCAAGAGCCGATAACTGATCTTGGCCGATGTTCTTCCGTGCCGGAAAAGCGTTTGCTACATTTCGAGTCGGACTTTGGATAACAATATATACCGTCGCACAAGAATTCAAATAGATTTGTGATACAGATGGTGATTCAGATAATAAAATAATTATGGTTATAATATTCAGGTCGCTGCACTTATGATGAACTTTGCACGCATTTAAAATGTATATTTATAAAAATATATATTTATATATTTAAACACACACACACATATATATATATATATATATATATATATATATCGAATTTCCTTGCTCCCAGGGGCTTAAATGGTTCCAAATAGATAAAAAACAATTCTCTGAAAGTTTTAGATCTTAATATTAACGTTTAGATAGAGCGCAATTCAATCAAAGTTTGTATGGAAAGAGCATGGAAAAAATTTTGAAAATTAAAAAAAAATGTTTTAGGTATAAGTTAGCGACAAATGAATGAGTTTTATTTATTCATTTGTTCACTAAATTACATCTAAAAAACATTTTTAAAATTTTTGAAAATTTTTCCATGCTATTTTTATACAAAACTTTGATTGAATTGCGCTCTATCTAAACGTTAATATTAAGAGCTAAAACTTTGTGATACAGATGGTGATTCAGATAATAAAATAATTATGGTTATAATATTCAGGTCGCTGCACTTATGATGAACTTTGCACGCATTTAAAATGTATATTTATAAAAATATATATTTATATATTTAAACACACACACCCACATATATATATATATATATATATATATATATATATATAGGGTGGTCCTTAAAATGGTCATTTTCGAATTTCCTTGCTCCCAGGGGCTTAAATGGTTCCAAATAGATAAAAAACAATTCTCTGAAAGTTTTAGATCTTAATATTAACGTTTAGATAGAGCGCAATTCAATCAAAGTTTGTATGGAAAGAGCATGGAAAAAATTTTGAAAATTAAAAAAAAATGTTTTAGGTATAAGTAAGCGACAAATGAATGAGTTTTATTTATTCATTTGTTCACTAAATTACATCTAAAAAACATTTTTAAAATTTTTGAAAATTTTTCCATGCTATTTCCATACAAAACTTTGATTGAATTGCGCTCTATCTAAACGTTAATATTAAGAGCTAAAACTTTCAGAAAATTGTTTTTTATCTATTTGGAACCATTTGAGCCCCTGGGAGCAAGGAAATTCGAAAATGACCATTTTAAGGACCGCCCTAATATATATATATATATATATATATATATATATATTTATATATACATACAAAGAGATATGTGCATAAATATAGAATATATAGTTTTTTTGATAATTTAATAGATTCTGTGTGTTTTAGTATTTTTCCATATTTTTGTTTGTTTGTGAATATCACCTATGATGGAATCTGAGATTTAAATAAGAAAAAAAAATTGTTTTTTCTATAAAAAAATATGTCCCGAAAAATTTCACTCATGTAGGGGATTTAAATACACCAGATATATTCTTATTTTTTTTCTGCAGATGGCGAAATAATATGATAAAATTGTTCTTGGGCATCTATCCAGTAATTAAAAACAGTATTATTGAAAGAAAATATTTTTATTAAGAAAACATAAGTTTCGGGTCTTGATTTGACCCATCTTCAGTGCATACAAATAAATAAATAAATACAAATAAAAAAAAAAAAAAAAAATTGCACGAAAAAATTATGAAATACAAATTGATAAACGTCGAGTTATGATAAAATTTTAAATAATTGTAAAATTAAAATAAAAGTAAAAATAAATAATACATTTTATTATAAAAAAGCTTATTCCAAACGAAGCATGTTGTCAGCTTGGAGTTTGTGTAACAAGTCAGTCATAATTTATATATATATATATATATATATATAATTTTTTTTCCGTCATAATTAACAAGTAAGTGCAATCCTTTTATTCTGCAAGGTATTCTCATCCTCTGAGCAGTTTTCTGTACCTCCAGATCCGTGCATTATTTTTGGCAAAAACAATATATTTGCTTAGATATTTATATATTAGCAAGAAGATATTTATATATTTGCCACATTCAAAGTTATTTCTATTAAAATTTTTTGCTCATTTTATTTAAAGGATCTTTGTTTAAGACTAGTTGACTAATTGTTTGGATAAGCCTAGATTTTTTTTATAGAACGAGCGCGCTCGAATAATAAGTATCAAATTAGTTATTTTTGCACGAGTTTCATTACACTTATTGAGCTATTATTACTAATTTTAGAATAAATAAAGTTTGATTTTTATAGGCTTTACTATATTTTTTATTTTATTAGGGTTTCGCTCAATTCTCAAACCGTGTTAGAGCGAACCCGTGCTTTAAAAGTACGTGTTATAAGGCGGATGGTATCAATTCTTAAACTGCGTTAGAGTGAATCTGTGTTATAGAAGCACCGTGCTATACGGGGGTTACCTGTATTATTACAGTTATTGTTCGAACTACGAATCTTTTAGCACTTTTTATATGAATAGAAAAACTACTATTTAAACTAGTATTTAAATAATCTGTGAACTAATTTCAAGTAGTAAATGTTCAAATGTTCTTAGAAGTTTTCGGTTTATCACTAGAGTAATAGTATAAATTTTCTCACGATATTAGATAAATTCCGTAAACAAAATGGACAGTAGTTCATACTAATCGTATAAAATGATAAAACTTTATGAATCTTACAATATTAGTTTATACTATTTTTGTTAATTGTTATTAATAATAAAAGCAAACTATTGCTGATTATTGTTATTGTTGGTTCCAATATTCAGAAAATATGCTTGGTATAAGCTTAATTTCATTTTTATCTCATTTGGAATTGTGTTTATTTATTTCATCGTCGGGGCTTCCACATGGATTAGTGGTTATAGCTATGGGATTTCAATAAGAGTCTCCACCGATGATATTAATACTGATTACTTTTTTTCAATACATTTATAAATGCAAATGCAGTTAGAGATAATATATTACTTTCAAACTTTCTGGATAAAATGAATTTCCAATTTCCAGATTTCAAAATTCAGATTTCAAAATTTTTAAAAATATACTATTTTATATCTTCTTCATACCAAATACTTTTATTATTTTAAATAAATTTATTATTTATTATTTTAAATAAAATAGGATTTAATTATTTTTCATTCGCCTGGCCAGCATTTATATAAATGTCGTATTAGTTTATTAACACGTTTGTACAGTTTATTTTAATCAAATACAAAAAAGCAATTATAGCTTGGCATGTAGTACAAATAACAGCTGACGATCAACCAAACACAAATAACTTCATAAAAAGCGCTTCCCGCAGAAGTGTCGCATATTGACGCTCGTAATAAAAACATGCCCGGAGCAACAGTTTTTGATAAAAGCAAACAAGCTTTGAAATTTAGCCAAACGATGTCGAGATGGTCATTTCCGAAATGAATAATAGAACAAACACCTGGTAATTGATATATATCCATTTGCCATTCAGTTGCTATCATGATCAATCAGAATTTTGCAATACGAAAGGAAAAATGTTATTGTATTATTTAAATATTTAACGTTGATTAAAAACAGGGATAAACTGCAATTGACAGCTTTGCTAGTTTTATATTTGCATTCTAGATAATTGCATGATTTTATAATGGTATAATGGTAAGCAATTTTAACCAACTGTGCTCATCGAACAGTTCGCACAGTTTTGGGTCTTGTCTAAAAGTAAAATGCTTATGACGAGTATATTCGTCATGATCTCAAAAAAGTTGTTAAAGCGCTATTAAGATGTTGGATGAAAAATATAAGTTCATTTCTTCCAAAATTTCAAAATTGAAAAATCATATTACTACATTTTACTTCTTTGTTAATATACATATATACTACATAGGCTAGAATGGTCCACAATTAAAAAGGTAATATCTCAAAATTTCACCAATATCTCAAAAACAAGCAAGCTAGGAAGTTTATAACAACAATATTTGAAATTAGAAGGAAAATAATGTATAACCAATCAGCTATCAGATGATAAACGGCCATACTTAAAAATCCACAACAAAAGTATTTTCTTTCGTTGTTGTTTTTTTTGGTTGTGAGCGCTGTTGTTTAGTTTACTAATAAAATTTTAATTATACGTTTTATAAAATGTATTGTTAATTTTAAGTTAGATTCAACAGATGTTTTTATATAATAGCTTACATGTATATGTGAATTTGTTTACGCCTTTATTCTGGCAAAGGCGTAAATGAAAAAAAAAATAGTAAATGCAAAAGCAAGTTCAGTTAAAAAAAATTTTTACAAGAAATAAATTAAATTAATAGTTATTCTAACTCTACTGCTGATTTTTTTTGACAAAATACCAGATCAAGGTTATATACAGCGTTGTCTTTGTAAAAAATGTGCCCATTAAATGTATGATTTGCATTGATCGAATATTGCAGCTATTATGTTGTAAAATCCCTCTAAAATTAAAAACAAGACATCGGATCTGTCCGCCCCCTGGCTGTCCCATTTTACCCCGCCTCTGAAGTAAAAATTGACAGATGATAATGTTTAGAAAAAAGTATATTAAAAAAATCACATTTCTATAATTAACTAGAATCTTTACTGAACATAGTACAATAGTTATTTGTTTGACACGAGTTATGTAGTTCATTTAGTTTAGATAGTATAATTACTAACAGTTAAATTGGACCTTTGTGCTTCGCCATATATTATATTCACATTTCGAAAAATTTATGCAACTTGTCTAGAAGTGAAATGCCACTTACAACTACTTACTATATACAATCATAGGCGCAAATTATTCTATACAACTTGATATTTCAATATATATATCTTTTGTTTTTTTTTTTCAAAAATCAATCTATAGCAAATGGTCAACGAATGACGAAAATACTCGTCAATACACAAAATTTTGCCACTTCTCCATGACAAGTATATTTGTCAATCACAGTTAA